TAACTCGCATCTTGCTAAAAATTAAATTTACTATAGTTAAGGAATAGCTAATGCTGCATATCTTGTATTTGAGCCACGTAGCAGTCAAACGGTTAAACAAGTTCGTTTAAAGACCTTTAGCTTGCGACTATATAAAGTCTGGTCGGAAGCTATGTAAGGATTTTGTTAGTTTTATTAACAGTTAAATTTTGAGTTAAAGTTCCTTTCCTATCGATTCTTAACTTCAACTTACACTTCCGGCCAGAACGTAGTTTTAGAATCCCATCTGAATACATAATGAGAAAGAGCGGTATTTAACCATTAATTTCTTCGGTCTTAGAGAGAGAGAGAGAGAGAGATACCACGTATTCCGGATGCACGCGTCCGCCTTTTCAGGCTACTCTCTCGTAAGCTATTATCACGCTCGGCCGTACTTTAGGCCCTTGATGGCTCCGCAGTCTATTAACGTTAAGGGGCCAACTCTGTCAGAATTTTGATAGCTTCGGCTATACCTCTTTAGTTTAGGTTAATTCTTAGTACCTCAAGTTCAAGCCGAAGTGTTGGCTTTATTGTACACTACAAGACGGAGTTTGTTAAACTTTAGTTGGAATAATAAAGGGTTAGTTTACCCTTTTATCTTGTTGTTTCTTATCACACGAACTCAAGCGATTATTCGCTTATTAGTTCTTAACCTTCTTCACTTCCATCAGTAACTTATAATCACAAAGTGAGAAACTCTACAAATTAATGTCATTAGATTTAAGTAATTTAAAGGCAGCAGCTTATAATTTAACACTTAAATATCCGAATGATATGAACGCTGAAGAAATTCAGTCAGAAATATCTAGTTTAAAAAATTAGCTATTTCAATAATTCCGGATTTCACAGCAGCTACAAGCTTAGAACTTTTACAATAATTCACGATTATAATTTAGTTCAGTCCTATTCGGATTTGGCAGCAGCGTTAAAAAATTTGTAACGTTGCCAATTACTGTAGCTAGTGGCGAAAGAAGCTTTAGCAAACTTAAAATAATAAAAACTATATAACATTTTCACTAGGCCAAGAAAAACTTTCAAACATGGCCATTTTCTCTATAGAACAAGAGTTAAGTAATCAAATAAATTTTGAAAAAATTATTGATGATTTTTCTTCTCTAAAAGCAAAAAAAAAAAAAAAAAAAAATTAAATTATAAATATGCTTGAAAAGTTTATGCCATATAATTTTGAGCAGATATTTTATTTATACTACTTAATATTATTTGCCATTTTTCAAAAAGCATATTTTTAAAGTTTACCATTTCGAAATTGTTAATCATTATAAATGTTTTACTTTGTAGGATATACAGGGTGATCAGCGATTAAGCTCTGATTTAAAAATCAAATATCTGTACAACAAAGATCGATAGAATTATGAGGTAAACTGTACGTTCATTAGCAAATCTGTAAAAGTGGTGTACTAAAGTTCAGAAAATTTAGTTACGAAAATCGTTAACAGACGGCGCTCTGCGCTGAAAACTCTTTCTCTGAAAGGAGTAAAAAAAAGGAACTACTTTGATATGCGCCCTCAAGTCGCCAAATTTCTCGCCAAACATTTTTGGCGAGAAACTCCACGCTGCCATTTTGCTATCTAAATTTGTTGTCTACATTTCGAACTTTAAGCCTAAAATGTTTCCGAAAGCACGGTTTTCGCTAATGCAAAAGCCACGTTTTGAACACACAATTTAAGCTAAAAATCCGAAACAAAAACAAAAAATTTAGATAGCAAAACCGTAAAGTTTCTAACCAAAATTATTTGACAAGAGTCCATGTACACAGCGATATGTTTTAACTTAAAAAAAAAAATCTACGAATGGCACAATCTAGTCAACGAACGAATCTACGAACTACGCACACCTCGCTTTAATAAATTAACATAACAATAAATTTCAAAGAATACCATGTACACAGCATCCTGTTTAAACTTAAAAAAACATCTACGAATTGCACAATTTAGGCAACAAACAAATCTACGAACTATGCACACCTCAATTTAATAAATTAACATAACAACAATAAATTTCAAAGAATACCATGTACACAGCGTCCTGTTTCAACTTAAAAAAAATCTACGAATTGCACAATTTAGACGGTACGCACTAATCAACAAAATAACTAAAATTTCAAACTATTCAAAAAAACAACAATAACGACAGAAATTCATACTAAAAAAACAATGAACATAACATTCTACGAAATAAGAACAAGAATAAAATAAAATGCACTTACCATGAAATGCTCTTTCGTACAGCAGAAATACCAATTTCATATCGCCTTTAACATGCCGCCACGTAATCACTATCGTATTTATATGACAGCCAGACACACTATCCAGAAAATTCATACTATGGTTCACAAATAAATAAAATAACAAATAATCACAAATCCCTGCTTCTATCATGCACAGCCACTAAAAATAATCTCCCAGACCCTCTTTCCACACCTCCAAATACCCACTGCCCCTCAACAGGATGGCCACGACGATATTTCCTTTTGCCGAACTTCAATTCAACAACTTCCACCATTTTAGCTTTTCCCCCTAGCTTCTCAGACACAAAGCATGACGCGAACCAACGAACTCCAGCGAAAGATTTTTCAACGTCAACAGGGTTGCCAGACAACACGCAATCGCGCCAAAACCAGCGCAGAATACATATCGCCGCATTTGGTGAAATTAGGGCGTATATCAGAATTGTACCAAAAAAATTAAAAAAATAAAATAAAGTGAAGCAGCCTTTGCAATCAAAATACAATTTTTTCAAAATGTTCACCGTTTGAAACAATGAGGTGGCGTAAACGAACAATGAACGTCTGAACGGAAATGGAATCACATGCAACACCAATCAACGATTCAAGCTCATCTAGAGTAGCGAGATTGTTTCGATAGACAGTGTCTTTCAATGCGCCCCACAGAAAGAAGTCACAAGGACTCAGATCGGGAGAATATGGAGGCCAAGCTATTCCTGTGTCAGTAAATTGCGGATAACCTAACGCAATTACGCTATTTCCAAAGTGTTCATGAAGAAAGCGGAAAACTTTATCTGTTCGATGTGGTCGAGCCCCATCTTGCATGAACCAGTCGATACCTGGTCGATACTCCAACGCTAGTTGAGTGCTGACAAATTGTTCCAAAATTGTAACGTAACGTTCAGTAGTTATCGTTTCTCGTACGAAAAATGGTCCGATAATGCCTCGGGCGGATACCGCAGCCCATGCTTTAGGCGAAGTAACTTTAGGCGAATGCAGTGGCAGGCGAATGCCAGTAACTTTAGGCAAATGCAGTGCTTTCTCTTCACACAAATGAGGATTTTCGGTACCCCAAAATCTCCAGTTTTGTTTATTAACGATTCCATTCAAATGAAAATGTGCCTCCTCTGTGAACCAGATACAGCTCACATCAAATCTATCGTTGTCGACCATTGGTAGAATCTGATTCGCAAAGTCAACCCTTTGTTGCACAGCTTTCATGGGTATGGCCTGATGACTTTGGATTTTGTATGGAAACAGCCGTATGCTATTTTTTAATATTTTTTGCGTGCTCGTGTACTTCAAACCTGTCTCTGATGCCATCCGTCGGATGCTTTTCCTAGGATTTTGCTGAACAATCCCAGAAATTTTGGCTGCATTTTCAGGAGTGACTACAGTTTCCCTAGGCCCAAAATTTCCCTTTCGATCATCAGCCACGCTGCCATTCCGTTCAAATTTCGCGAAGAGCATGCGAATGGTTTTCACATCGGGTCCAACTGGAACATTGAATCCTTTTTGAAAACTGCGACGTGTTGCCGTAGGACTGTGTTCTAATCGGTGAAATTCCAGAATAAAAAAAACACGTTGTGCAATGGAATACATTAATTCACTTTCTACGCTGCCCTTTTTTCACTAGCCAACAGTCGTACTGATCCTTTTCGAATTCAAAGCACATTTTTAAAGGCTACTGATAGGTTATTGCGATTAGAGCGCCATCCGTTAAAGATTTTTGTAACTGAATTTTCTAAACTTTTGTACACCATTTTTACAGTTTCGCTAATAAACGTACAGTTTACCGCATAATTCTGTCGATCTTTGTTGTAGAGATATTTAATTTTGAAATCAGGGCTTATTCGCTGATCACCCTGTACAAAGTTATAATTAAATATTACTGTAAGAATTATTGTATTTTCACTTCAAATAGTTACTTTTAATGTGCATAAAATATATAAAAATATAGTTAATTTGTTCTACATGTATGATTATATGTATATATATATGCAATAATGCATATATATATCTAATAATAAAACTCCATAGTCAAGAATACACTTAAATTTCTAACTGTTTGTTCTTTTCATTTTTAATGGCGACATTCTCTTATTTGAAAGTACTTGGAATTAAATCTACAGCCCCGTAGTCAAGTTGTTTTTCCCGCCTTTTCTACTCGTACAGTTATAGAATGTTCTGGAAATATTTAAAGCGAACTGGATTGGATGACGAGGCTGACGTCATTTCTTTGAAGCTCCGCCTTTCCAGAGGCTACAAAAGGACTCGCAAAAGAATATCGGGGACTTTTTCTTAAATGTCACGATGCAGTAAACTTCATTCAAAAAGTTATTAGTAATTCTTTTTATTTACTCCGGATATTTGATTTTGTAACTGCTATTTCTCCTGAATAATAATAAATGGATCCTGTTTTTTTTTAATTTATCGTCTGATAATTTAAGCTACGACTAAAGCTGGTACATCACATATATATATATATGTAATATTTTCAGGAGCAAGAATTTTGATGCCGTAAACTGGAAGGCCTCGCATTACTTCTAAACAAACATATCCATAATGACTAGGAAATTGGAGGCGAATGCAGATTAAATCTTCAGTTTTATTTTCAGCAACATGTAGCGGCTAAGGCTACTATAAAGGGGAGCTGAATCATCATCCATTTTGAAGCTAACTTGTTGGTATTCGCTATTGGATTAGCACTGATTTCTTGACATATTTGTGGATCGATTCCGACCTAATTTTTAGAAAAATGGGTGGTTGTGCTGCACCAAATTGTTCGAATCAGTCTAAAAATAACTTTAGGATGTTTCGTTTCCCTAGAAATGAAGAAAGACGAAGAAAATGGATAGTTAATTCTCGTCGAGATCAATGGATCCCGGGCCCAGGAGCGTATCTTTGTGAGGTAAGTTCAGCTTCGTATTTTTCCATAGAATGTTAGAAAAATTACTCTTCTTGGTACTTTAAAATATTTATTTTCATTTAACTGTCACTTATTGACGATCAACTGATTTTATAAGTACAAAATCAACTGCGGAATGTGTATGTGTTTGTGCAGTAAAATATCGTTGTTTCATGTTGTTTCTTTTGTTATCGTGAAAAGTTATACCGTTTGTAAAATTTATATCATACATTTCATGTAAACTTTGTGCTCAGTTAGAAATGTGATGTGCCTTTTTCTTTCTTTAATTTTACTGTACGATTGGTGATTTAAAGTAGCATTCTATGTTTTGATTCTGATGTATTGTCGCCAAATCGGATAGTTGGCGCCAATGTTAAAAACTGGATGGTATGATCCAAATAATAAATGATTTTGTTTTTTCTTTATAGTAAGATAAATATATTCTGTATTTTTAGACATTTTTAAGAAGTTAAATATTAATTTAAATATTCGATGAATCGTTTTGATCCCATTATTATCCTTTATTGTAGTAGCAAATCTTAATGTTGTATTTTTAACTATAGGCACTTTAAATTTATTTTTAGTGTGTGAGCAGGAAATATGTTTTAAGTAGTTCACAAACATGATTACTTTTTAAAAATTTTGTTCTATTTTCATAAAAAAATTTAAATTTATCAGAAAATTACATTCTTAAATTATTATAATATATGTAACTGTAATTTAATACTAGTGCTTTTGATTTTAATGTTAAATTTCATGCATGCTTTTGTTAAATATGCAGGTACATTTTGAAGAAAATCAATTTGAATGCTCTAGGCAAGATGGGCGTAAAAAACTCAAGCCCAATGCTGTGCCAACTCTTTTCAATGTGCCTAATCCCCCACAACTGTTGACCCCACAGCGTCTAAAAGGCATTGGTTTACCAAAGCACCGTTCAGTTACATCCAATTTTTGTAATGTATGTGTTTTTTATTTTTATGGTTTTTCATAAAAAAATATGTTTTTATTACAAATGGACTAAATTGCTTTATAAAAGAATCAAAATATTGAAATTAAGGCATTATGTGATAAAGCTGTAATTACAGTCCCTAAGATTAGATTAAAAAATTAAAATTTTGCTGTTGTTATATATATAATTAAGTATGTACTTTGTTATTATAATCATATATTGAAAATTAAGCATAAAACCTCAATTTGATGTAGTTTTTGGATAAAGTTTTTGTAGTTTTTCGAGGACGGTCATACATGGGTCTGGTTTCTTCAAATTTGCTCCTAAAAGAAAGAAACCGGTATCTGATTGCCTTCAAAGTCAAAAGAGTTTAAATCAAAATTTGTATTAAAATAAAGTTGCTTTTTTGCTTAATTTTAAATTCCAGATAAATAGAGAGAAATATGTATGGAGTAAGTAGAAGAAATAATATTGAAATTAATAATTTTAATCTTGAGTAATACAATAATATAGTTATAATACATTGATTTAAATGTATATTTTAATGTCTTATATGTCTTGTCTGAATGTTGTTATTTTTTGTTTAAAGATTTACAAAACTTATTAGGATTATTTATATTATTTATTATTAAAATTACATTAAGTATATTTTATTTATCAGCATTTTCAGGTATCCTTACTTATATGTGTTTCATAATTTTTGCATCTTCAGGGTGGCTTGCTGCACGGTTTACCTTTATCAACTGAAGCGATTTCTGTTGCTGAACCATCTGTTGTAAGTCTTCATTTGAACAGTTATTAAATATTTAGTATTATAAACTTTTTCTAAAAAGTATTAACACTGTTTCTAAAATTAAAAAATATATTAACGTAATATTTACTTATGTTTAAGAAGTATGAATGCTATGAACAGTCCAATGTATTTATTTATGCTTTTTTATAAGTTGAGTTACTTTGAAAATGGTAATGATTATTTGTATTTATTTTTATCCGATCAGAGTTTATAATTTCTTTCACTTCCACATATTTCATATATTATAATTTCTTTTAGGTTCATTTGCCACAACCTTCAGCTTCATATTTTGGAGAAATAAATTTTGCTGCCGAAGTATCTGATGTAAATTGCCATTTTGCACTTCTAAAAAATTTTAATAGTTTTTTTTTAACATCTATTCGTAAACTGTACTATGTTTTTTTAAATGTTTCCATCTTCATAATCATGCACTTTATTTCATTTCACCAGTGGTTGCAAATGTGTACATTACAGTACATCTCAGGTGTGTTTGCAACAACATTTAGCATTACCTTCTGATTAAATAACAGCTGCTAGTAAAGAATCTATTCTATGTTTTCATTTGAGCAGCTATTAAATGTCATATGTTTTACATATATTAATGAATTTTTATACGATTTCTGAAATATGAAATTGTTTGTCTTATGGTTGCTAAACAGCTGTACTATATCTGGCTGTTGTGCTATGGAATTATTTTTGAATTTTGAGTGTTAACAATTTATTATCTATTTATGAATTATAAAATGTTATGTAAAATAATTATTTCTTAAAATGAATGTAGTTTATATTATCTGTATTTCTAAATTTCTTATATATATATTTCAGGTTTGTTTGCAAGAACAAGCTTCAACTTCATCTTGTGATAAAATGCCATCTATTTGTGAAGGATCTCATGTAAGATAATTAGTGTATTATTAAATTGCTTGCTTATACAAAACGTTTCTATTAACTTTTTTTGGGGGGGGGGTAAAAGGAATGTAATTAATTTCATCAGCATTTACAAATTCTTTGTGTACATTTCAGGTTTGTTTGCAAGAACAGCCTTTAGCCTCATTTTGCAATGAAATACCATCTATTTGTGAAGGCTCTGATGTAAGTTGATAACTAATGTATAATTAAATTACTTCCTTATATGCATTTAAAATGTTCTATAAAGTAATTTTTTGGTAAAAGGAATGTAATTAATTTCATCAATAGTTGCAAATTCTCTATGTAAATTTCAGTTTTGTTTGCAAAAACAACCTTTAGATTCATCTTGCAACCAAATTGTAATTAATTTTAATTAATTTCATCAGCATTTGTGAAGGCTGTGATATAAGTTGATAATTTGTGTTATTAAATTGCTCATGATTATGGAGATAATCGATCCCTTGAAAAGCTGGAAATAAATTTTAAAAATCTATTTGGTACTTTTCCGTTTTGCCGGCGCAAACGATAAAGTCGCCAATAATGGTTTAACTGATGCCAGACGGAATATCTTCGCTGGTAACCTTTTACGCCTCAGTTTCAAAACAAGTTGAAGCCATTTCTTATCAGATTGTTTCTTTCAATACTGGCATACAATAATATAGAATTTTTACACGATATTTAAATTTTATCCCCTAAGACAATTCACGGTAATTAAGTCAATTAGAACGCAATTACACCGCTCATCCGAAGGCGAAATCAAGTGTTAAATTCATCAATTCTAATGAGAATGCACTAGTCAAGTCAAGCACTGTGGTTTTACATAATTTCTGAGTAAGCTATTCGTACGAATTGAAATAATTCTTGCATTTAAACTTGTATTCCAAATTAAGATTTAACTTGAAATTAATGTAGATAATTACTGAGCGAATTAGATTTTAGTAGCGTAGTTTACGTGAGATGAGATCACTTGGGGTCACGTGATACGAACCGGCGAATCAGGATTTTGAACCATGAAATCATAGTAAATTCTTAAATTAATGTCTTTTTTACAAAATTGTCTTTATTTATTGGCTTTTTACAAAATTTTAAACCATATTAAAATGTTAATGCCTTCAAAATAAAAAAATTCTTAGAATTAACATTTTTTTATGTGTATACTGTATGTTGTCGCCAACAAAGTCTGCTTGGCGAGATTTGCGCCGGCGAAACGGAAAAATACCATCTATTTTTAAGTGAAATAAATTTTAAATATTAGAAAATAAAACAAAAATAATCTAGAAAATGCTGAAAACAATAGAGTCAAATTTAAAAACCCACCACAGTATAGGAAAAGAGACCTGGAACTTGCATTTTTATTTTGTGGATTTATTATCTGTTTAAGTTTGACATTTAATCCAAAGGGGCTTTGTCCCTGAAGGACTATTGTTTTTCGTTTTGTATTGAAACACTATAAACGGCTGCATCACTTTTCAAATTGTTGCCACCAAATATTATCACCCTGTACTATATTTAAAGAAATTATATAGTGAAGATCTGCATAAATGCATGTATGTTTTTTGCATTCTGATAAAACAACGGTACCTAGAGCCATCAAATTTTGAATGACTTAATTCTACTGTGAATATGGACATCTGGAAGACCGAATTTGAAATTCGGAATTTGTTTTAATATATATTTTATATGTTGTAAAACTTTAACGAATTTTTTGATTAACAAACTTGAGGATTTCAAAGCGAGCAATGGCAATGTTGTACAGAAAAGACACTTTTATCTCCAGCGTGTGAGACAATGAATCGGGAATTCTGAAGATATGTTCATTTTAAAATTATCTTGCAATATTGCTGTTGAACTGAATTTTTATAGTTTAAGTGTGAAAAACTTGATATTTAATAAATAAAGGTAAAACACAAAATGTTAAAAAAAGGCCCCTTTGGGTGTAATTTAAAATCTGAAACCTTTCAGATCTTTTTTGTTTGTTTGTGTTGTGTTCCCCCCCCCTTCTTTGATGATTATTCATATAGATTTTTTCTTTATTCCAGGATGTTCTTTTAAAGAATTTTATAAAACAGCAGACTGAATTGATCTCGCTTCTGCAATGCCAGAACAAAATATTACTGAAAGAACTTACAGCAACCAAAAAAAAAAAAAAAAAAAATGAAATTGTTTTAAAAAAATAGCATAGCACTGAAATTCAACTTCATGACCTTCAAGTACAGCATGAGGAATTGCTGAAAGGAGTGAAAACATTTCTTTCAGATGAACAAATAGCAATGTTGAAAATTCCTCGTAGAAGCATTGCAAAATGGTCTAACGAGGGAATAATAAAAGGCCTCAAAGTTAGATTTGCCTTGGGCAAGCATGGTTATAATTACTTGCACAGAATAGGTTTTCCGTGCCTTCATACAGCACTTTAAATAAAAGACTTCAAGGTCTTGAAATGAATTTTGGAGTCATCAGTGAGATGATTGAACCTTTGAAAATTAAAGGAGAAAAAATGAATGCTAGTGATAAAGACTGTATTTTATCATTGGATGAAATGGAGATTTCTGGCAATCCTGATTTTGATATTTCAAAACGTAAATTTATTGGTAAATGTACATTAGGAAATCAAAAGGGTACAGGAAATCACTATTTAGTTATTTTACTAAGAGGTTTGAAGCTGAAATGGAAGCAAGTGGTTGCCCATGAGATAACTGGACAGGTAACAGGATGCCAGCTCAAACAACTTGTTGTCAATGTTATCGAAGCTGTCAATTCTGTTGGATTTAATGTTGCTGGTATTGTTAGCGATATGGCAGCAGTAAATAGAAGCCTGTGGAATTCTTTGGGAATATCTGTTTCTCGAAACCAAAGAAATAATTTCACTACTGAAATTAAGGGCAAAATTATTTATGTATTTGCAGATGTGCCACATCTTTTAAAAAATCTCTGGTCTGCAACTCTTAATCATAGTATAAAACTGCCCAGTTATGTTTGCAATAAAGAAAATTTGGTTACTTTGCATGTATCTGCAGGATTTATAAAAGATATCTGGATTACTGAAACAAACCAAAATTGTGGTTTGAGAACTATGCATCATCTCAGCAAAGAAGACCTCTTCCCCTCACATTTTGATAAAATGAATGTTGCTTCTGCTGTGAGGTTTTTTTCCAATTAAAACAGCTGTGGGATTGGAGAAGGCAGTAGCTTTAAAAGAGATAAGCCCTAATGCTCTTACAACAGCATGGTGGATAAGATTTATATGTCAGTGGTTTCAAATGCTATCCTCTAGATGTAGAAAGAACTCAATTTCTGTGACAAATAAAAGCAAAAAAATTGAGTTACTTTTTGAATTTATTAATGTTATACAGCTTATAGAAATTGGTAAAGGGATGGAAACCATTACATACTGGTTTGATTCTTTCTACTTTATCAGCCATACAGTTAGCAGAGGCATGTTTTCTGAATGATTTTCAGTTTATTTTGACGAGCAGATTGACACAAGATGCTCTAGAAAATGTATTTTCTCAGATACGCAGAAAAGCTGGTTTGAGGCCAAGTGCTTTGCAAGCTGTGAAAGCATTAAAGCTTATCTGTTTTATCTCAGTTTATATCTGACATTAAGAACTCCAGTTATGCTACTGATTCAGATATTTACTTATTAAACTATGCGAAAGATGAATTTGAATTTCTGAAGGAGAAAAAAGCTTTAGAGCCTGTTACCATACCAGAAGTTTCTGATGTATCTCTACAGAATCTCACCCTTAGTGAGGAAAATAACGTCTGTTATATTGCAGGAGCTGCAATAAATTCTGTTTTGAAAAATGCTTGTAATTCATGCTCACAGTTTCTCTTAGTTTGTGAGCAAAATACTCCTTCCATTGATGAAAATAAGCAGTACATAATTAATTTTGCAAATTTAGGTGGGCTTAAATGTCCTTCTCCAGAAATTTTTAAATTGTGCCTTCTGTGTGAAAAAATAATTCAAAATTTTCGAGACGAAATAATACATGGAAATGTAACTATGGATGTGGAATTTGTTAATATGATTTGTAAGAAAGCAGGCGAGGTAAATATTCCCTCCTGTTGCAATATCAAAACAAAGATAATAAAATATTATTTGACTGCCCGTGGAATTGGTCTCAAGAAGCTTCTTCAAAATAAAAGGCAGCAGCGGCAAAGTTTTGCATCTCCTGCTTTTTAAAAGGAAGAAAGTAAACTAGAATCTAATCAAGAGTTTAAGAAGTTTTTGCTGTTCAGTTCTGTCTGTAAAAAAGTATAGTTGTCACTGAAAAATTGCTGTTTGTCTCTTCGAATAATAATTAGGCCCACTAACAGCTGAATGGTTAAAGTTACTGAATGCTGGGAGTTCCATCTTCTGTTCTATTTCCGAACAGGCTGGCTGCATGGTTGGTTTTTTTTTTGTGGTTTTTCCCCATGTGTAATGTGAATACAAGCCAGTTCTCCTTAGAAAGTCCTCTACAATAGAAGATCTCATAGTCAGCTAAATCGGATTTACTTTTGTGTGACCTTAAATGAGGCATCAATTGTGAATCTGTTTTGGCATGTTATTAGGAATTTTAAATGAAACATTTATTGCTGTTGTGAAAGAATGATCAACTGATGTTTACCTTACTAATCAATGTCTTATAGTATTGTAATGGCTTGCAGGATTTTTCATAATGGGATGTTGCATATGTTTTACTCTTCTTTTTTACCAAATAAATAGAGTATGTTCCTAATCAGACATTTCTTCTTTTGTACCAGGGTTATATAGTATGATGTGATAATTTGGATTTGTTTATAGAATACATAACAGTATTTTTTGACATTCTAATAGAACCAGTGTATTTTATTTATTTACTTATTGCTTTAAAACAGATTTTGAATCAAGGCTTACTTCCCACCCCCTTTTTGGTATGCACATAAAACATGTTTAAGCTATATTTATAATATATCAATGAGATACAGTGGATGGACAAAAATATGGAAACACCTTGTGAAATGCATGTTTGAAAAGAAAGATTGATTTTAATGAAATGTAGGTGGCACTGACGTTTCTGACTACTGACGCCACCTATACAACTTCGTAAATGTGCTAAACAGTTCAGTTGTTGTCGGAGTACTGTTATGTGAGGTTGTCATTGCATTATGTCAGAGTTAACAGACTTCGAACGTGGGCAAAGTGTTGGAGCACGTATGGTAGGTGCTTCCGTAAGCAAGGTAGCCGAGGTGTTTAGTGTTTCAAGAGGTACTGTATCGAAGATTTATTCCGTATATTTGAAAAGCGGAAAAACATCATCTGCTAAATCACAGGGCGGACGAAGGTGTGTCCTGAGTGATCGCGACAGACGATCATTAAGAGCAATTGTGACGAAAAATAAGAAGACCACAGCTGCAAAAGTTACTGCTGAAATGAATGTTGTGTTACCGAACCCTGTGAGTACCAAAACAATTTGAAGGGAGCTTCATAAACAGGGAATTGCTGCAATTGAGAAGCCACTCATCAGTGACGCTAATGCCCGTTACAGGAAAAGGTGGTGTTTAAATCATAAAGCCTGGACTATAGAGCAGTGGAAGCGAGTAATATGGTCTGACGAGTCTTCTTTCACATTGTTTCCCACTTCTAGCCGAGTTTACGTCTGGAGAACGCCATCTCAAGCCTATAATACAGACTGTTTGTTGCCAAGAGTGAAACATGGCGGGGGTTCTGTTCTGGTTTGGGCAGCCATATCGTGGTTTTCTCTGCTAGCCCCAAATGAACTGTGTCAGGGACATGGTTTTTTTGCATTTATTCAAACATCTCCGCATATAAATGAGAATTAATTATATTATATTAGTTTTTAAAAGTAAAACTAATATAATATCATTCTATATAAAGCTGTTTGATGTATAATGGAAAAAATTCAATTTACTGCAGTATGTTTTAATAAAATTTGAATATAATAGACTGAATTGCACTACATTAGACCAAAAAGCAAAACATTTTTATTTATTTATCTTTATTTTCACTATATGTGTTTGTCATATGTTTGTTACTAGAGGACTTATTTTATAGATTTGAAGCTAAATAATATTTTTATGTTTTTACTTATGCAAATTAATTAATAAAAAGAACTGTGATTTAAGTATTGTCTTTGCTGTAATATAGATTGAATCTTATTATGTTATGGAATTATCATTTAAATATTCAGATATGTGTAATATTAAGAGCATATGTATGTAAGTATAATTTTTCCAAGTATAATAAAAAGTAACCATCAACAACAAATAAACTTATAAGTAAATAGTATCTGTAAATTCTGTATGTAAAGGTATTATTTTTATTTTTATTTATTTGTGTGTGTATTATTTTAATATTGTTTATAGCTAAATAAAGAACCAAAAAAAAAATTTAATGGAATTTTTTACTCTATTAAATCTATGAATCCCACAGTCATCTGAGCATTGAAGTAATTTTTATAGCATTCTGCACTTCATTCTAAAAGCGTTATAATTTAAAGGTGTATATCTTGAATCAGTATTTAAAATCATAAAGTGTTTAGCAGCTTTTTCTGGAAACACACACAAAATAACATTTTTAACAAATTTGCTACAGTAATAGACGTTTGATTCCATGTGAGCAAAATTCAAATAACATATTAAAAATAAAAAAAACAAAATTAAAGATTAAACCTTATCCTAAATTAATGGAGGTTGAGGGATTTCCCTCAACCATATTAAGAATGTGGTTGAGGGAAAGCTCTTGTCAAAAAATACATTTTGAGATAAATAACATTATGCGTGTATTTAAAAGAAAAAATTGAAAATTCAATAAAGGAATTCAAAAAGAAAGCATAAAAATACAAATTTGGCAAATTGTATTAATACTAAAAATACAAATTTGAAATATGATATGTGAAAATGTTTTAGAAACTTTTAAAGTAACTTGAATCATACGAGAAATTTGGCAATTTAAAAAAAAAAAAAATACGAGAAAGAATCTGTACTGCAGACAAAAGAAGGGGAAAAAGCCACGCATCTTTATAGGAGTGCAGAAAAAAGCTGAAATTCGGATTCTCTAGAATGTTAAATTTTAGCGGACAGCGCTAAAGAGCCGAAGTTGCCGCTCCACACCTAAATTGCAACCCTAAAGCTTAGATTCAAAATGGCTGACGAGTCAGCCTGTATCTCTAGTAGCGGCTACACACAAGTCGGCACATTAAATGTGCCTGTTCCAAAAGGCTTTCATTTTTGTTTGCTTTGTAGCAAGAAAGCAGCAGCAGACAGACGGCGATGTAGCTAGGCCAAAGCGTGGAAAGCAAGTGCGTAATGTTCAGGATGCAATCTCAAGTCAGCCTTGATTCATGGTAGGGTGAATTTTTTGGATGTGGAAAAGTAGGATTTTCTCAGCAACTTTAGACAGATGGCTAAGTAAACTGATAGGGCGATAGTTCTGTGGGAAGGTTTAATTTTGTTGTGGTTTAACAAAAACAATTATTATAGCTTGCTTCCATGAGTTAGGAAAATGAGCGAATTTGATAATGTTGTTTCGATTATCTTAGTTAGGCAGGTAAAAGCGTTGATCGGAAGATGTTTCAGTGCTTTGATCGATATGCCATCGTGCCCTGGGGCTTTCTTTGTTTGTAAGGAGCTGATGGTGTTGGCAACAATTGTTGGGGTAGTCAGGAAAGTGAAGTTGTACGAAGCAGGGGTGACAAGAAGACGCTCGGGTCGTCGAGTTCGCATCAACCCAAAGTGTTTGTTAGGTATCGTTAGCACTGGAGGGGAGTACTGTGGTGACTAGCCTGCTACAACTCATCGCTACCAGTCTGGTAATAGCAACGAAAAGCAAAATAATGTTTATTCTATTGTTAATATTGATACCAAAAAATGATATTATTAACGATATGTTTTTTTATCATAGTTGATTACCCAGCTACGCTTTATTTATTATTGTTCAAAACGGCTTATTATACAAATTATTTTTATATTAAAAGCATCTGTCTCAAAGTTGTAATACCATAATGTTAACACATAGTCATTAATTTACTTCACAATATTTATTATATTCAAAACCTGTCTGATTATTTTGATACAATATAAATTTGGACTTACGGCTCTCGAGTGCTCCATGCGGCTCCTATCGTCTTGAAGTATGACCATCTCTGGAATGGAGCTTCGAAACGTGCGCTGGAC